CGGGGGACGTCACCATGCCGTACATGATCCATGCTCCCGCCCCGATCCGCAGCACCAGGAAGAGGAGCACGAAGAGGAAATCCACCACTTTTCCCAGGGAAGTGTGGTAGGAGCCCAATTCCCGCAGGAACCAGCGGGTCTGGAGCAGGGGGTTGGTGATTTCACTGACAAACAGCACGGCGTTCACCTCCGTGGCGGATTTGCCCAGCCCCAGCACCAGGATCATGCCGCAGATGCTCAGGGTGTGGTGGAGCAGCATCAGGTCCCCCTCGGTCTGGAAGTACAGGCACCAGCCCAGGTCAAAGATGAAGTAGCCCAAGGTCAGGGACAGCACGTGGATCTGGAGAGGGGTGTTTGGCGAACCTGGAATGGATGATGTGCGTAAGCCTGGGGTCTTATTTAAGATTTTTTCTACTTTACGGATCAGTACAGTCGATTGTGCTTCTCTCCTCCTAAATTTCCAGCCTCATCCAAGTGCCATTAGGGATATTTGGTTCTGCTTCCCCTTCACACCCCAGCCTGCCCAGCTGACCCATCCCATCTTGTCCCCCTCCTGCTTCCCGTCTCCTTCCAGCCTTTTGGAAAAGCCAGACCTCCATCAGCAGCACTATCTGAGGTTTAACAGCCAGCAAAACCCTGCAGCTGAATTTCAGGAGTTATTACAACCTTCAAGATGTGAAAGCACTTTGTTCTCCACACCTTGCTGCGCCTAATGCTGCAATAAACTCAAGCTGCCAACCCGGAAACTTCCAATTCGTACATGGACAAGCCAAAAAACCAAAAAAATTAAAATAACAAAAGGATGAACAGTGAGAAGTGGTGGAAAAAGAAGCAGCAAAATTAAACAACATTTGGCCCCAAACACACAGCTGTTAAGAGGAGAGGAGATCAGCCCCTAGCTCCACCTGTGACAGATGAGCACAGGTGAGCACAGGTGAGATTCCAAACATACCTGCGTGGGTCAGAGGCCAGGGGCCATCCAGGAACATGACATAGCCAGACAGGCAGGTGACAATGAGCCCGTGCAGGAGAGTGACCAGGCGACAGCTCCACTTGTAGGAACGCTGCCTGTTCCAGCGGCAGAAGCAGCTGTAGAGACACAGCCAGGTGACAAAGCTGCAGGTCACCTCCAGGACGATGGGAACCATCCTGCTGGACACGGAGGGACAGCGTGAGGAGGGCAGCAGCCCCTCAGAAAGCCGTGCTCACCCCAACCATCCTCCATGTCCACCCAGCACATCCATGGGGGAAAACCCCACAAAAACCGAAAGGAGCAGAACAAACCCTGTCCCCCTGCCGTGAGCACCGCGCCCTCCCGAGCCTCCTTAGCACCGTTTCCAAATTTCCCGAACGGGAAATCCACAACGCCAACCCTCCCGCTGCCAAAGCACCTCTGCCCTCGGGCACCGGCGGGGACCAGACCCCGACCCCATCCCGGCACTGGGGTGGGGGTACCCGGGACCCCCAAAATCCTCACCCCGCTCCGGCTCTGCGCGCCCGGGACCTGCGCCCGGCTGGGGCTGCCCGGCCGGGGAGGCGGTGCCGGCGCTCCCGGAGCCTTTTATCGTCCCTTCCCAGCCCTTCCCAGCTCTGCCCAGCCCAGCCCAGCCCTGCCCAGCCCGGCACGGCACGGCACGGCACGGCCCCCGCCGCATCCCCCGAGGATGCTCCGCGGCATCCCCGCCGGCCCAGCCCCGCTGTGCCTGCCCCGGGGGCGGACAGGGATGCGCGGAGCGGAGCTGCGAGCCCCGGGGCAGGGCCAGGCAGGGCCAGGCAGGGCAGGGAAGGGGGAACGGGGCGGGAGAAGCGGGAACAGGCGCTCGGTACCTCCGCCCAGCCTCGGCTCGCCCGGCTGGAGCCGTTCCGGAGGACGCCCAGACTTTATTTTTGGCTGGGCGTTTTCCTCCCTGGTGATGGAGAATAAAGCTGGATCAGGCTGGATGGGAGGTGCTGGTGTTCTTTACCTTCTTTTCTTCCTTTTTAAAAAATTTTCTATTGTTTTGCCGAGTGTCCTGGAGTCTTCTTCCAATCTGTCTCCCGGCTGGGGGTGCAGGGAGCGCCTTTGTGCGGATTGCAGGGAGGGGAGGCTGAGGCAGAACTCAGAGGGCTCGGGACGGGCTGGGAGTGGTGCCGGACACTCGGTGCTCGGGGAGATGTGCCACAGAACGTGCAGAACAGGATGAGTGAGCCAGGAGCTGAGCTAGAGCCAAGTTCATGGCTAGGAGTGAGTAACCAGGACAGGGCTGTGCTTCTTCCAAGTCCTGCCAGCCAGCTCTGCATCAGCACTGTGTCATCCCTGACTCAGTTTGCTTTAAAATCTGACACTGTGTCCCCCAAACAACCCAAATTTTCCCTGCAGCCAGAGCTCTACACTGGGAATGAAACAACTGAGAGCGTAAGAGCCCTTCCCAGTGAGATCTGCCATGTGTGCTGCACTCCACAGGATGCTCCTGTGAGTTATACACTCAAATATCCTTTTAATTGGATCCTAGATTATAGGCTGCTCTTATAATTGAGCTAAAACTTGCTGATTTTTGTCTCCTTTTCTAGCATTTTGAAGCAGGAGCCCCAGCACAGAGAAAGGGGGTCCCACTGCAGTTTGAGCATCTGTAAAGCTGAGCCTGAATTTAAGCTAAAATCTTTTATTGGACTGTTAGGATCCATTCCAATTCTACCACAGGTGGAAATCTCAAGGCGGTGAGCATCAGCAATGATGAGGAAACTTGGTGGTGTCATTTGGGTGCTGAAAAATGCTCAAAATCTCCCTTCAGTCCACAGGGAAACCTGGGAAGGACAAGGAATATTCCCCCAGCTTGCACTCCCTCACCTCACAGGTGGAAATCAGAGGAGGAAAGAAATGAATGAACAATAAAAGAAATTAAATACCAACATCAATTTGTTAATTTTCCAGTTCTCCCCAGTCCTGCTTGAACTTGGGCACTGCTAAATGTCCATTGCTGAGGTAGCCCAGCTGCTGGAGCGCAGCTGGAATTGCCACAGCAGCTCTCCTTGGAGAGGGGCAGGCACAGGGAGCATGGGGACAGTCCAGGCACAGCTCTGGGCACAGCTCAGCTGCTCAGGAGGTCACCGAGTTCCCACAGGGAGCAATTTGCTCCCTCCATTGTTCCTCCCTGGCTGTGGGAGGTGACTCCTGCTCCTGGAAAGCTGGAATTTCCTGCCGTGTTTATTTGAAATCCCTCAGATGTGAGGCTGGAAGCGTTCCTGGGTGGCAGGGGAACGAAGCTCTTTCCCTTCCAGCTGGAGCTTTTTGTGGAGCAAACAAACTGCTGGTGTTTGTTTTCCCACTCAGGGCCAGTTTATCAATAAATCCCAGGGAATTGTCGTTGTGTTTATAAACTTTGTGGAGGAGATGAACCCTCAGGATGTTTTTGCACAACGCCTGGCACAGCTTGGCCTTGATCTCAGTGGAAATATTCACGTGCAGGTGCTGTTATTCAGCTTTTAATACATCGGTGGTTTCCCTCCCAGTTTTCAGGAACATTATTCCAAAACTCATGCAGGTGGGAGCAAATTACTTGGAGGAATTCCTGAGAACCAAAGGAATGGTTTGGAATAGAAACCACATTTGGACCTTAATGAATCTTCTCAAGGCTCTAAGAGTATATGGATGTACAGTAAATTGTAAATAGATTATTGGAAATAACTGATTTAACTTTATTTTTGGTCCCTTTTGATCAAAGGGCTCAGAAACCTCTGCAAGCCTGGACCAAGTCACTTGACTCTGAAGGCAAAATACAAATTACAGCTCAGCTCCCAGGAGTTAATTCAGGAATTCCTGGGTAAAACGTGCAGGCTGAGGTTATGTAGACAATCAGTTCTCACTGTTGAAATAACTGCTGATAATCTATGAAATAATTTGAGATTTTCACAGTGGAAACAAGCTGGAAACTGCAGCTGTGCTGAGGTTTGGGTTAATAAATGTCCTCGGTGATGGGTGGCAGGAGAATCAGCGGTGATGTTCATCATTCCCTAAATTCTGCTGCTTGGCACAAATTGAGCACTGGGAGGAGGAAATTGGATTTTCATCACCATTGCCTATCAGGGATCAAGTCCTTTTTCCAAGGTCATGCAGGAAGTAAAATAAAACAGAGTGGCCCAAAGGTTCAGATTGGTGTTTAAATTTGTCCTTATCTGCTAATCTTAAATATCCATATCAGCCAAAATTAATTAAAAAGTAAAGGAGAAATAAGAGAACAGAAAATAAATTCCTTACAGCTCAAAGACCAGAAGGCATCTCAGTAATAGCTTGTTATTATTTGGTATCAGATAAAACTCAAAAAAAGAGGAAAAGAAATAAAAAAGAGAAGGTCAAGACTCATTTTCATCCCATTCATTTGTGTAAATCAACACAAACCACAATTCTCCCAAGGTTTCCAATAACAAGACCTGGACACAAGTTTTGCAAAAGACAGGTTTTTTTTCGGTTGTTTGTTTGGTTTTTTTTAAAAGGAAAAATAAGAAGGTTCTAAAATACTTAATTAAAAAACAAAAAAAAAGAAGAAAAAAACCAAAAAGCACCTTTAGAAAGGGAGCAGGAGGTGCAAAGCAAGTGGAGGGGGAGCCTGGGGCAAACCAAGGCTCCCACCCAGCCACGGGGCTGCGGTGAAATGAACTCAAACCTCGGCTCAGTTTGGGGGCTGTGCGTGACAGGGACAGCAGGAGGGACCCTCCTTCCTTTTGGGGACCTCTGGGACGGGATGGGGACAGAGAAAACAGAGAAAGAGAGAGAGGAGAGTCCTGGCACAGGATCCCTGCCCGGGAGGATGCGGAGCTGCAAGCGGAGGAGCCATGCGAGGACAGCCAAGGACGGGAGGGACAGTGCCACTGTGGGGGCTTGGGCAAGGGGACAGTGTCACTGCAGGGGCTGGGGGAGAGGGGAAATGTCACAGTGGGGGCTCGGGGAAGGGCTGGGCTGCAGTTTGAGTCCCTGCACAGCCCCGCTGCTGGGGGTTCCTGGCGCAGCCGGCGGCGGAAGGCACTGGAAGGCCCCGAGCGTCGTCGGTGGTGCACGGCCTGGAGGCAGAGCTGCTCTCGCCCTCGCTGCACACGAGGTCTCAGTGGAGGTAGGTGGGTTGGTTCCATCGGTACCAGGAGCTGTTGGCAGCACGGAACGACAAAAACCATCCTGATTTCCCGCTCAGCCCCACCCGGGTCAGCGCGTCCTGCAGGTTGCTCAGCAGAGTGCAGAAATCACATCCTGCCACTCCTGAGCATCCCAGAATATCCTGAGCTGGAAGGGACCCACCAGGATCAGCAAATCCAACTTCTGTCCCTGCACAGGACACAACAAGAATCCCACCTGTCCCTGAGGGGTCACACGTGAAGCTTCACACAGGAACGCTCCACACTGCTGGAATCCCTGAGGCTTTTCCTGTTCTTCCTGGAGATCCCAGGGTTTTCCCCCAGTCCCCGATGCCCTGGGTTGGTTTGGGGTTTTTTGTGGGTTTTTCTGCCTTACCCTGAAGAGTTGAAGCCAGAAGAGTTCATGGCAGCTTTGGAGTTGCTCTGGGCTGTGCCGGGGCTGCTGGCATGGAGGGCACTGCCAGGGGACGAGGGCCTGCTGGAGTTCCCTGGGGAGCACGAGGATGTCACTGCGTGGGACAGAGCACAGTGAGCCTGGCATCTCCTCTTCCTGCCCAAATTCCCACCCCATCCCTGTGCCCGCCCTGTGGCTCCTCTGATTCCCTGCCCTGGGGAACATGGGAGGACCCCAGGAATGTTCCCTGCTCCTGTATCTGGGAATTTCTGGTCTCCAAAGAGATCTGACACTGACCCATCCTTTATTTGGCTCCTCTGATTCCCTGCCCCTGCCCTGGGGAACATGGGGGATCCCAGGAATGTTCCCTGCTCCTGTATCTGGGAATTTCTGGTCTCCAAAGAGATCTGACACTGACCCATCCTTTATTTGGCTCCTCTGATTCCCTGCCCCTGCCCTGGGGAACATGGGGGATCCCAGGAATGTTCCCTGCTCCTGTATCTGGGAATTTCTGGTCTCCAAGGAGATCTGACACTGACCCATCCTTATCTGGCTCCTCTGATTCCCTGCCCCTGCCCTGGGGAACGTGGGGGATCCCAGGAATGTCCCCTGCTCCTGTATCTGGGAATTTCTGGTCTCCAAGGAGATCTGACACTGACCCATCCTTTATCTGGCTCCTCTGATTCCTGCCCTAGGGAATGTGGGGGACCCCAGGAATGTCCCCTGTTCCTGTATCTGGGAATTTCTGGTCTCCAAGGAGATCTGACACTGACCCATCCTTTATCTGGCTCCTCTGATTCCTGCCCTAGGGAATGTGGGGGACCCCAGGAATGTCCCCTGTTCCTGTATCTGGGAATTTCTGGTCTCCAAGGAGATCTGACACTGACCCATCCTTTATCTGGCTCCTCTGATTCCTGCCCTAGGGAATGTGGGGGACCCCAGGAATGTCCCCTGTTCCTGTATCTGGGAATTTCTGGTCTCCAAGGAGATCTGACACTGACCCATCCTTTATCTGGCTCCTCTGATTCCTGCCCTAGGGAATGTGGGGGACCCCAGGAATGTCCCCTGTTCCTGTATCTGGGAATTTCTGGTCTCCAAGGAGATCTGACACTGACCCATCCTTTATCTGGCTCCTCTGATTCCTGCCCTAGGGAATGTGGGGGACCCCAGGAATGTCCCCTGTTCCTGTATCTGGGAATTTCTGGTCTCCAAGGAGATCTGACACTGACCCATCCTTATCTGGCTCCTCTGATTCCCTGCCCCTGCCCTGGGGAACATGGGGGGACCCAGGAATATCTCCTGTTCCTATATGTGGGAGTTTCTCATCTTCACAGAGGTCTGACTCTAACCCATCCTTTATCTGGCTCCTCTGATTCCCTGCCGTGAGGAACATGGGGGGAACCCAGGAATGTCCCCTGTTCCTATATCTGGGAATTTCTGGTCTCTACAGAGATCTGACTCTAACCAACTCTTTATTTGGCTCCTCTGATTCCCTGCCCCTGCCCTGGGGAACATGGGGGGACCCAGGAATACCTCCTGTTCCTATATGTGGGAGTTTCTCATCTTCACAGAGGTCTGACTCTAACCCACCCTTTATTTGGCTCCTCTGATTCCTGCCCTGGGGAATGTGGGGGATCCCAGGAATGTCCCCTGCTCCTGTATCTGGAATCTCAGGTCTCCAAGGAGATCTGACTCTAACCAACTCTTTACCTGGCTCCCAGCTGTGCCTGCCTCCCAAACCTGAACACCCCAGCCCAGGATTATGCTGGAAATGTTCTTCTGCCCAGTGTTTTCCACGTTTTTACCCCACCCAACAGCATGGCTGGGCTGTTCCCATCCCAGCTGTGTGGGGCCACTTTCCCTGGCCAAAGCCAAGGCTCTGATGAAGATCATCCTGCAGATGTGACCCAGGAATGGGGAGCCAGGGATAAGAGGGCAGAGGAAGGAGGGAAGGGAGGTTCCCCAAGGCTCACCAGTCCCAGGCATGGTGCTGTGCACTGGATTGACGGAGAGGGGCCCCAAGGAGCCTGAGGTAGAGACCTAGGCAGGAACAGAGGCACTGAGAGGGGAGAAATCACATCCTGCCACTCCTTTCACAGCCCCTGCGGGGTGTGCTGGCTCCCAGGGACAGCTGGGGCTCTCCTGGGTATTTCCAGTCATATTCCAGGGTGGAAACACCATTCCCATATCCAAGGAATATATATATATATATATATATATATATATATATATATATATATATAATATATATAGTAGTAGTAGTAGTAATAATAATAATAATAATAATAATAATTCTATATAATTATATTATATATAGATGTTATAGAACTATAGAATTACATATATAGCTATTACTATATTTCTATGTATTATTATATTATATTAAAATATTGTGTGTCTATATCATAATATATTATCATTATATTATGTAAAAATATCTATGTATTAAAATATATATTTAATATATTTATAGTTATTTATATATATAAATATATGCATATGTGTGTGTGTGTGTGTATCCAAGGCCATGGGAAGAAATCAGAATTAGTGTTGCATATGCCTGGCACTCTCCACATCCATCTCAATTTATGAATCAGCTGTGAAAAAGCCTGAAATAATGACATTTTCTGGAAGTCTCAAGGTAAATTTGTAGGAGCCATGGTCTTTGTCTCAGACTGGGCATTCTCAGCCCGAAATGTCCCAGCTCCCTCTGGTTTTGGGCACGAAAAAATATCCCAATCTCCTTCAGGGAGCTGAATCCTCAGGTGACAACTGGCAATTTGGGAGCTACCATCCAAATTAGCATTTATTCCTGAAGGCAGCACTTTGTTCAGGGACAGCAGTCACAGGGGAACAATTCACCCAAGCTCCTGCTCTGGGAATCCAAATGTTTGTTTGGGGACCAAATTTCCCCTGATGTTTTCCTGCCTTCTGATGGAGGATTCCAAAAACCAGGAGATTTCAAGATAAAATTCACATTCTGCCTCCCGCTCCTGTGGGAGCTGCAGAATCTGAATTTTATCTTGAATTTCTGAAATTTTATCTCTTATCCACTGAGGAAGCTCCTGCCACTTTTAAATGGCAAAGGCACCAAGCAACTCTTGAAATGAAGCAGCAGAAATGCAGCTAAATTGATATCAGTGTATGCAATCCTCATCCCCCATTAATTTGGGAAAGATTTTCTTCATCAATCTCAAGGGGGAAAGCTTTGGGATAGCATCATGATTTGACTAAATTATCCTACAATTAAACCAATCAATTCCTCTTAGGAAACTTGTCTTTTCTTTCCATAAATAATAATAAACAAAATTATCGCTTAATTAATTGTTATAATTTAGCTGATTGTTTCCAATGGGTGGCGTAATAAGAAATGTTCTGGGTGAGATTCCACTCGGGGGGGTGGATCCCAAGTGCCTCACCAGTCTGGAGTTGTAGATGGGTGATTTGATGGGGGATGGCATCGGGCAGCTGATCCGCTTTTCCTTCTGGCGCCGGTTGCAGAACCAGACCCGAACCACTTCCTTCTCCATGGAGAGCTGCTCTGCTATCAAGGAGATCTCCTCTGAGCTGGGCTTGGGGTTCTGCTGAGAGAGGCAGGAGGTTAAAAAAAAAACAAAAAACCCAATAAATGTGCTCTGAGCTGGGCTTGGGGTTCTGCTGAGAGAGGCAGCAGGTTAAAAAAACCCAAAAAGCACAAGGAGATCTCCTCTGAACTGGGATCTCTGGGCTTGGGGTTCTGCTGAGAGAGGCAGGAGGTTAAAAAAACCCCAAAAAAACCCTATAAATGTGCTCTGAAGTGGGCTTGGGGTTCTGCTGAGAGAGAAAGCAGGTTAAAAAACCCCAAAAAGTGCAATAAGTCTGCTCTGAACTGGGATCTCTGGGCTTGGGGTTCTGCTGAGAGATGCAGGAGATTTAAAAAGCCCCCAAAATCACAAGGAGATCTCTAAGGTGGGCTTGGGGTTCTGCTGAGAGAGGCAGCAGGTTAAAAAAAAACCAAAAAACCCAATAAATGTGCTCTGAGCTGGGCTTGGGGTTCTGCTGAGAGAGGCAGGAGGTTAAAAAACCCCAAAAAGCGCAATAAGTCTGCTCTGAACTGGGATTTCTGGGCTTGGGGTTCTGCTGAGAGAGGCAGGAGGTTAAAAAAGCCCCCAAAATCACAAGGAGATCTCTAAAGTGAGCTTGGGGTTCTGCTGAAAGAGACAGCAGGTTTAAAAAAAACCAAAAAATCCAATAAATGTGCTCTGAGCTGGGCTTGGGTTTCTGCTGAGAGAGGCAGGAGGTTTAAAAGCCCAAAAAAAACCCCAATAAATGTGCTCTGAGCTGGGCTTGAGGCTCTGCTGAGAGAGGCAGGAGGTTTAAAAGCCCAAAAAAAGCACAAGGAAATGTCTGAGCCGGGCTTGGGGCTCTGCTGAGAGAGGCAGCAGGTTAAAAAAGACCCAAAGAACACAAGGACATCTCTGAACTGGGACCTCTGAACTGAGACCTCTGGGCTTGAGGTTCTGCTGAGAGAAGCAGGAGGGTAAAAAAAAAAAAAAAAAAACCAACCCAAAAAGCACAAGGAGATCTACTCTGAACTGGGATCTCTGAGCTTGGGGCTCTGCTGAGAGAGGCAGGAGGTTTAAAAGCCCAAAAAAAGCACAAGGAAATGTCTGAGCTGGGCTTGGGGTTCTGCTGAGAGAGGCAGGAGGTTAAAAAGCCCCAAAGAGCATCAGGGGCTGCTGAGAGGACAAGGGTGGGGCTGGCTGCGAGCTGGGGAGGGGACAAAAGCTCCGAGGGTAAATATTTGGGTCAGAGATTATGTTCTGTGAAGCACAAAGTGGAGTCAGGGGGGATGAGTCTCCTGCCCCTGTCACAAATCTCTTCCCTCTTTGACCTTAATAGCACAAAAATCAGAGCTGGGCTCACCTAAACCTGGTGGCCTTGCCACTGTCCAGGGGACAGGAGCTCAGAAAAGTCACTGCCTCTCTCTTCCCTGTCTCATTTAGAAAGAGAAATAACAGAGCCCACCCTGCCCTCTGAGTCATTTCTTTTCATTCCTTTTAGCTCTGTGGGGTTTGCTCAGAGTTGAAGCTCAGAAATGTCAAAGATACCTGGCACAGAGGTGCCAAGATAATATTCCCATTGCAGAAAATGCCCTCTACCAGCTAAAAATGAGCTGCTAAAATGAGCTGATGATGACTGAGCAAGTTTTGATATGAGGTAGAAACCAAGAAAAAACAAGCTTAGGAACAGTTTTGATTTGAGAACTTTCCAAGGCACAGTTTAGTCCTATTGATTAAAATTCTGTTTGAGGCCTGTAGTGATTTTTCCCGAAATTCTTGGAGCTGAAAAAGTATGAAGGGCTCCACTTCTGAATAGGTTCAGGAAAAATATTTGGAGCAACAAGTTCTGGGGTCTCACAAAGAGCTGCTCAGTGGGGCATTGTGGCCACAGAGCTCCTGTGACACATCTGCAACTCACAAAGAAAAGAGCTGGGTGCAGAGATCAGCTTTGGCCCCGTGGGTGATAATGGGGAAATGTGCTGCTGAAATTATAATTTCCTTAGAATAACATTCAACAGGGAAATAATTGGGCATTTCTTTGGGTTTAACACTTTACCTGTTAACTCCTTCAAGCATTTTGTCAAATAATAGGGGATTCCTTTGGGCTTAACACTTTTCCTTTTGCTTCTTCAAGGATTTTCTAACCTGCTGTCAAATAAATACCCCAAAAAAACCCTCTTTTCTTGAGAGGACTCAGTGCCACAGGCTTGCAAATGGCTCAGGGAGAGCTCCCAGCAGACTGAAAGATTTTGCCCTCACATCTTGGAATCTCTTCTCCAGCGTGGAGCGGATGTTGGTCTCGATGCTGGTCCTCTTCTTCCTTTTCCGTCCGAACATCTCGTTCACTGAGGGGTAGGAATTGGGGGTGCTCATGGAGGAATCCAAAGGAGCAGATTCTGGGGGAGGAGGGAGGGGGAAAAGAGATATACAAGAAGATAATGAGTTATTTTCATTCCCAGAATTCACTTCCTGTGAAACAAAGGTGCCTTCAAAAACAGATTAATTGTTCCTGCATAGTGGATCCTCCCTCTGATGGTTATTAGAATTGCTCCAAATCCATCAATGAGCTTGTCCAAATCAAAGAAGGAAAATGTTTTAACCCACACACCGTTTTTCCTTTGTGAGCCTGATTTCCAGCCTGCTCTGACAGGGACCAGGAGTGTTCCAATAATTTCATTTCACACAGAAAAGGATGTGACCAAACCACTTGGCTCGGAGTGGCTGAGATGTGACCAATGGCTCAGACATCCTGAAGGGCTGGGTGAAGCACGAGGCTGACGTGAGGTCAGCACAGGACACCACCCCGAATCCTGCTGCCCCTGGGAATTCCCCTCTCCGTGAAATCCTTCCTTTTCCAGCTGCACCTCCTGGGCTAATCCCCAGCACCTCAGCAGTTCCTCCCCTTCTTCTCCAGCTCGCACAGGGAGGGGCTGAAGGGGTTTGAGGTTCCTGGATGGATCCTCTCCTGCTGCTGGTGATGCCTCAGGTTTCAGCTTTTCTATTTTTCAGGTTCTGTGCTGCTTTAGTGTGTGGGTCTGAGCTCCACATTATGGGATGGTGAGCTCTGTGCACAGAGCAGGGAGACAAAACAATTCCTGCTCCAGCTGGGCACCAAGGACAAATGATCCAAATCTCAGCCCAGGAGCACAAACCCCGTGGGCTGGAGAGAGAAAAACAAGCAGGATGGGAGTGCAGGGGCTGAGCTGGAATTGGACACTGAACTGCAATGTGCACATGGAGCAGAGCTGATCCCAGGGAGAGACCCCGTGAGCGCTCGTGCATTTTGGGACCATTTGGGTTCATCTTGGGTTCATTTTGGGACCATTTTGGTTCATCTTGGGTTCGTTTTGTGACCATTGTGGTTCATCTTGGGCGAAGCCCTGGCTGGGCTCTTGTGCTGCCCAAGGTGCATCCATGGAGGAGATCCTTTGAATAAATCCCTGCTTTATTCTTTAGCTCTGTCCAGCCTCTGCTCCAGGCCAGCCTGCACAAGGCATCAGTGGCATTTCTGCCTTGATGTCACCTACCTGCATCACTGAGCCACTTCTCCAGCAGGGGCTTGAGCTTGCACATGTTCTTGAAGCTCAGGTTGAGAGCCTCGAAGCGGGAGATCGTGGTCTGGCTGAAGTCATTGCCGTAGAGCTTCCCCATGGCCAGGCCAACGTCCCCCTGCCAGGGGACACCCAAATCCCAGAGTGAGCACAGGGAAACCCCTGCCAGCTGTGCCAGCCCCACTCAGAATCACAGAGCCACAGAATTAACCAGCCTGGAAAGGACCTCTCAAGCTGCACCAAGGGAAATACAGGTTGGATATCAGGAAGAAATTTTTTATAGAAAGGGTGATAAAGTTCTGGAATGGCTGCCTGGGGAGGTGGTGCAATCACCATCCCTGGGTGTGTTTAACAAAGCCTGGATGTGGCACTGGGGGCCAGGGTTGAGTTGAGCTGTTGGGGCTGGGTTGGACTCGATGATCTTGGAGGTCTCTTCCAACCTGGTGATTCTGGGATTCTGTGACCTTTGAGATCATCCAGTCCAACCCATGACCCAACACCTCCTCATTAAATAAACCATGGCATTGAGTGCCAGGCGTTTTTTAAACAGTGACTCCACCACCTCCTTGGGCAGATGATTCCAGAGCCCAATCATTCCTTCAGTGAAGGATTTATTCCTCTTGTAGCCTAAACTTCCCCTCAGGCTGCTTCCAGGATAGCTTCAGTCTTGTTTCCATGACCTGCCTGCCAGGGAAAGAGGATTTATTCCCCCCAGGAATCTGCCCCCACTCCTGAATGCTGGAGAAGGTGCAGACATCGAGGTTATGGTGGTGAGGTGCTAGGAAGGGTTTGTCTCTTTGTGTATTTGGAAGGGAATGCTGCAAAATAACCCAAATTTACCTAACTCAGCCTTTCCTTCATCCACAGCTCTGCCCCAAACTGCCGCCATCTCCTCCCTCCCCTCTCACCTGCGTGAACCCCAGCTTGATCCTCCTTTGTTTGAAAGTCTTTGCAAACTTTTCCAGCTCCTCCAGGTCGCTGGGCTCCTCAGAAGCCCCTGCTGGGGTCAGGTGCTTTGCCACTTGCAAGTGCTGGGGGACGTCCAGGTGGGGTTCAACCGAGGAGCCAGGGAGGCCGGAGCGACCCACAGCCTGTCCAAACCACCCCAAAAAAGATGCTGAGAGCCACAAGAACAGAAAGCCACGCCGTTTCCTGGCCCATCTGCCCTCCCTAAAGCAGCAGGTGGAGTTTGCCACGCCCTCAGGTGTGTCCTTACCTGGGAGGCCAGGCTGGGTCCGGGCTGGGAGAGGAGCAGGCTGCCCTGCTGCTGAGGGAAGGAGAGGAGGTTTGGCTGCAAAGCTGAGGAGATAAAAAAGAGACACATCTGGTCAGGGAACACCCCCAGGGAAGCTCGGAGTGGGAAGCTCCATTTGTGATTTCTTGCCCAAAATACAAGAATTTCAGCTGTTAGGGACTTGTCTGGTTCTGAGCTGGATCAGGAGAAAGAAAAAGAAAAAGAGAAAGAAAAGGTTCTTCCCGTGGCTTTTTAGCCTGCAAGGGATCATTACAACAATGATAGAAGTGAAATATCTCATTTGCTGATCCCTGCCTGTCACTCATCACACTCAGGCATTTTAGAGACCTCTAATCTTGATTTTAGGTGCCAAGCTGCAGAGAATTTCCTACACCCTTCCCGGGGATCTCTCTCAGTGCTTAATCATTGTAGCTCTTAGAAAAATGGACATCTTATTTCCAATATAAGCCCTTGTGACTCCAACTTTCAGCCACTTGATCTTGTTAAAAAAACCCTGATCCTCCAGTTAATCTCGTGAGCCCTCCCACTCTGCTCTCAATTCTACATTTCATTTTCAAATGTCATTTGGAAGCCATCTGACCCTTTCTTTCCTACCCTACTGTATTTCAAATAAATTGAATTTCTTTCAGAACGTCGGGGCTGACACGAAATGATGAAAGGAAGAAAGAAGGGAAATCCATAAACCCAACAAAAACTGGGATTTATGGAGAGTGTGTAATTGTTTCGTTGACAAACTGCCAAGTACAAGCCTATATCTCTTAGAGGGAATGTCCTACAGGATTAGGTTGTGTAGTTCCCTAGAAATTTAGTTGATATCAAGTCCATTGTGAGTGAAACCTATAGAATTTAGTGAGGATTTATAACCTTGCTCAGAGCAGTCAATATATTTAATTGATTGTAACTGACAATTACAGGGAGATCCATAGAAATTTATGGAGTTCTGCTAATAGAAAGGAAAACAGATAATCTCCAGAATCAATCACTGCCCCCTCTCTCTCTGCCTTTGCTTATTTAATTTAGATCTGATGTGCACAATCCCATTTATTTACTTAGGCTGGGGTTGGAATAAGCCTTCCCTAACGCTGGAACATCTTCAAATTTCAAATCCAGGCTGGTAATGAGGTGCACATTTTTACCAGTGCAGGTAATTAATCACTGCAATGGCTTTGCCTTGGGACATGGCAGATGCTCTGTCATTTGGAGTCTTTAAAATCATGATTGGACATCTCAGCTCCAGCTCCGAGGGAAATGAAGGGCTGGGTTCAGGAATCACCGGTCTGACAGCTGAGATGAAGATTTCAGCAGCAATATTTAGACTGACAGGATTCCCAAAATCTCCGTGGCTGTTCATTCCCACCTTCACAGAGCTCTCCCACCCCTGACTCAGGTGTTTGGGTTTTTCTGGGAATGAGGAATGAGGCCTGGGAATTTATCTGGCAGCTTCAAAATGCAACCGAAATAAAATCCATGTCCCTGTTGGAAAGGTTCAGCCCCCAGCCAAGCCCCTTTGGCCACAAAATCCATTTATGGACCCACAGTCCAAAACCAGGAGACACTCAGAGCATTCCCTGATGGCCCCAGGGACAATTCTGGAATATTTTCTGCCTTTCTTCAGGAGGAAGAAGACTCCACTTGAACCAAATTCCTCTCCATTTTCACTCCCCACTGGCTGTGCATGCATGTGGCAGAAGGATCATTAAAACCTGGCAATCAGCCATGCAAATGGAAATGTCCTGCACAAAATTCCAGCTCCTGGCCAGAATATCCAGTCCTGGTCAAGCCTGGAATGGAAGGGGTGACAAGCAAACATAGCTGCCAAAAAAAGTCACTGAACAGATAAATTCTAATTTATCAAAGGCAGCAAATTCTGTTTTGCAGTAAAAGATGTTTATTATTCATGAATAAAAGCAGGCAGCAAGGAATAGATTGTCCTGACCGTATTTCAAACTAACGAATTCAAAATTATTTGTAAATATACATCAAGTATCTTTATCCATCAGTGTCATTTGGCAGAGAGGAGAATTTATATCTTGTCAGGAAGAAATAAATTCCCCACTTGCTTTTGGAGTGTGTGAACCAGTGGGTTCAAGCAGCAGAGATTTAATGTTATAATCCTGAATTTTAGTTCATGTGGAGGGAGCTCTGTGCTGGGATAAATCAAAGCACAAGCAAAGGATCCAAATCCCCTTGGATCTGCCAGGTTATGAATTAAAGCCTAAAATCCTCCATCCACACCCCCGGGGTGGGATAAATGCTGTAAGAATATTGGGGGTAAAAAACAGAGTTACAGAGAGTTTCTCAAGGATGCAGTGAGTCCTCAGCGCTTTCCTGGAGCTGATTTTGGGAGCAGGGAGACCTTTCCTGCCCTGTGGAACACCCAAACATCTCCCTCTCATCCCAGCGCTGCTCCTGGCTCAGCTGGACCTGTTCTGCTCCTTTCCTGCATTTCCCCTCCCTCCAAAGGATCAGCCCGAGCTCTGATGAGTTTCTGGAATTAATGAGCCGTGGGAGGGAGCAGCTCCTCCGCTGTTCCGCTGGAATTCGGGCGCTGTCCGGAGCTCCAGCTGGGATCCCTGCCTGCCCCAAGGTGGCACTCGAGGAGCGCGCAAGGCTCGGGTGCCAGCAGCATCTCCGCATGGATTCGGGATCATCCCTGCTGTGGGAACCGGCAGCATCCCCCGGGAAAACCCGGCATCCACCAGAAGGGAGGTTTTTAAAGATTTATCCATTTCTGGCACCTTATATTTTATATTTGGCATTTATATATATATTTTTTTTATTATTTTTTTTTTTAAATCTATTTGTATCCTGCAGTTCTTTAGTGCAGAGGCATCATCTCAGCTTTTCCTTCTCTTACCTTGTTGTCCTGCCTGAGACTGGGACAGGAGGAACTGGGGGACTGACTGCATGTGCCCAGGAAGCAACACCAGCTGCTGCAGGGTGTGGAGAGAGCTCATGTCCTACAGAAAAAAAGCAAAGGGAACAATAAAACTCAAGGATTTATGCTCCTCATGCAGCATCTCCTCACAAATCCACGCTGAATTTGTGTGATTTGGGGGCTGGAGGGCTGCAGGTCCAAAAGTTTCAGGTGTAAGAGAAGATTCTGTGCGTACAGAGACCTCCATGTGGAGAATTGTCTGCTTTTCCCTGGAAAAGTTAACTCTTGGTGACATTCTTGAGCTGGAGATTCAAAGGTTTCAGGTGCAGGAGAAGAATTCTCACTGAATTTGGGGAATTTGCGGGCTGGAGAGCTGCAGGTCCAAAAGTTTCAAGTGTAGGAGAAGAATTCAGTGCATGCAGAGACCTCCATGTGAAGAAGTGTCTGTTTTTCCCTGGAAAAGCTAACTCTTGGTAAAGACATTTTCGAGGCAGTCAAATCCTGGTTGTTGGAACAGGGAAACCTCTCGGATTTCAGTTTCTTCAGATGAAGCATTTCCAGAGTGAGCTGCCTGAAATCACTCAGCAAATTGCAGCAGGCTGTCCCAGCTCACCAACACTCACCCACAGGACTGTTCTGAACACTGGGGGAATTGAAGAATCCCTGCATTGTACCATGGATCTGAATACCCCATGGAAGAATGAGGGAAGGGATTCCTGAGCACCTGGGGGGCCGCCTGGCATCCAACTCCCACTAGAATTTAACAAGAGTTAAGTGCTGAACTCCACATTTTTTTACCTTAGGAAAAAAAAATTCCCTCAAGGAATTATTTTTTCCTGTGGTGTAAATCAATTTGAGGCAACAACAGGCTGAGATTAGGAGTTAATCTGGTCTAGAACCCTATCTCCAACAATGGCATTAACCAGACACTCATGAATGAGGAAGAGCAGGGCAGGCATTATCAGACACTTCCCCACGGTGCTGTCTCAGCCTCCAATTATTTCCAGTCCAAGGGATTTCCTGGCCATGGGGTGGTTTCCCTGCTCAGCAAACCCTCAGAGGAAATCTCAGCCCAGCACGTGTCCAGCCTAACTTTGAACCCGCAAGGAAAAGCCGAGGAGGAAGATGAGGATTCGCTTTTGCAGCTCAGTGTTCCTCACCCTCTCAGGCTCCTTGTGCCACTGGCCAGAGGAATTTGGGGAGGGGGTCGGGATCAGCCTGTTTTCCTGGGATCCAGGGGCAGGCAGGTCACTCACCCCTGCGATTTGGCTCCCTGGCATCATGGATGATCCCTGCACGAGGTGACCCGACCGAGGGGGGATGGCAGATTGCAAGGAGTCGCTGAGGTCCTCGGTTTTAATCTGCAAAAGAGCAAAGGAATTTTGGAATTAGGGAGCAGGGATGAGCAGGAGCAGAGGGTAGCTGGGGTCCAAGAGGCTGGAATAAGCTCCTCTCAGGGATTTCTCTGCTGTTTGCTTCGCTGAAAATCAGGGTTATTCCACACTGCTGCTCCCATCCCGAGTGAATATTTTGGGGTTGAAGGAGCTTTTCTGCCCATTTGAGCAAAGCAAAGGAATACACAGAATAATTTTGGTTGGAAGAAACCTCTACAACACTGAGTCCAAGCTTTGGTGGATTTCCACAAGACGAGAAAAGGGGAAAAATGGGATCACAAGAAGCTCAACAGCTCCCATGGACAGTTTTCCTGCTCTGCCAAGCCCCATGCACTTTGCTCAATTAAAACTCTTCAGGAAAACAACCAATTTCAAGCAGCTTTTCAAAGTTTAAAGCATTTTGTGGAGTTTTAATGAAGACAAGAAGCAATTACCCTTTCCAGATCACAACTCAAGCCCTGATAGGAGGGCTGGACGTGGAAAACCTCTAATTTTTCCCTGCACGGAACAGAGAATGGTCCAAGAGGATGGGAAAGGATGGGTCATGGAGGAAAAGACCTCAAAAAAGCAGAGTAATCTCCCAGAACTGAAAATGCAGCACTCCAGGCACCAAATTAATTTGTTCCATTTCTACCAAAAAGCAACAAGAAATTGCAAAGAAAATCTCCTTCCTCAGTTACAAGCTGTGGAAAAATAACTGGAAAACTTCACAGGTGTCCAGTGGTCTTTTTGAGCTACTTTAATGTTCTTGCAAAGTTCTCATCCACAAGAAAATAATGATTTTTAAATCAACATTCTTAGAAAAAAAATGCACCCAGGGACCAGAACTGAATCCTTGTTTCTGGTTTAATTCACAATCTCCATGTTCATTTCTAACTTTGCTAATACATTTAAAAAAAATAATTTATTAAGAAATAATAATAATAAAAATTAGTTCCAATTATTGTAGTAGCTGAAGTCTTTTGGTGGTGCTGAGTGGGACAGGAGGGAGGGAAGGATTTTGGAAGTTTTTAGGTAAATTCCTGAAAGGTGAGTGAGGAGTGTCCATGCACAGGGGACAGGTAAAAGATACAGAACTCACCTCCAAGAGAAGATTGACCCAAACCTTTTCTCAACACTGAACAAGGGTTATTCCTCATCACAGCAAGAAGAGCCTCTAATTCCCAAAAACTGGGAAAACCAGGAGGACTCTACAAAGGACACAGCTTGAAACTCCTGAAGATTCACCCTGACTCCAAGGAGTGAACATCCCCAGTCCCACAGATCCCTTCAAACCCCACATCCCCCAAAGGTGAGCAGGGTCTTTGCCCCACTGATGGGGCCTTGAGGCCCTGCAGCCTCCTGCCAGCAGAGGGGGACAAGAAATCCAGCTCTACAAACCCCATCCCGAGCGAATATTTTGGGGTTGAAGGAGCTTTTCTGCCCATTTGAACAAAGCACAGAAATGCATGAAATAATTTCAGTTGGAAGAGACCTCTACAACCATCGAGTCCAAGCTTTGATGGATCTCCACGAGAGGAGAAAAGGGGGAAAATGGGATCACAAGAAGCTCAACAGCTCCAGAAAAGGGAGCTGCAACGTTCCCCTCAGCATTTTGGAAGGTGCTGCTCGGAGGGAAGGTGATTACAACACCCCTTTCATTACAACTCGAGCTCTGGACACCGCCGAAACTCGTTTTGCAATACTCCCAGCTCCTTGCAGCAAGAGGTAGACATGCTATGAATTCCAGCTCTTTCCTACCTTTCAAGTTGGCATGATCATCCCTCTTAGCCTGGCAGGGCAAAAAAAAAAAAAAAAAAAAAAAAAATCAGGTGGAAAGATCTTCTCGATCGCTATCAACAGCGGTAAGTCACTGAATGTCAGGAAAAAGGCTCAGGAGGACACCCCGTTACCCCCGAGCCATCCAGTCACTCCAGGCACGTGGATTTATGGATGTTCTTTGCATTAAAAAGAATCCATTGGAGGCAAATAAGAAAAAAAAATTATAAAAATTATTAAAAAAAAAAAATTAAAGTTTGTCTGCTTCATCCAAGGTGGAGCAGTCCCAAGAAAAGAAAGTTTTTGGCGTCTCAGAGAGCCGGGCTCTGGATCCTGCCTGAGCTGTGATCCCGATGGCAGTGGGGTGTTGAAGAGGCACGAGCCATTTCCAAACTGAAATCAATTTTTCCAGCTGCCAAGCGGGACGAGCTGGCGGCGCTCCAGGGAGAAAGGGGTGTGTAGCCGCATCCCGGCATGGCTGGATGTGAGAACGGGAGGTGGGTTTGGCAAAGCACCGGCTCCCGATTTAAAAACAACAACATCTCCCACTGCTCCTTCCCCCGGCCCTGGAATTCTCCCTCCTGCGCAGTGGGCGGGAACCTGGGGTTTGTTCTTGACAAATCCTTCTCCCCCTTGCACCTATTTCCATTGGGTTTAGGCTCAAATTTACCTCGCCCTCCTCTTCCTCTCCCCGACAGGCCTGCAGCTGGCTAATTGTTCATTAGGAGTTCGGGATCTATCCAAAACTTTGGGGATGGTTTATGCAAATCCCGCTCTTTTGGTTTTGGTTTTGTTTTTTTTTTTTTTCCCTGGCTAAACCGGCAATATTGCCAAGTGTACATTAAAAAAATAAAAAAAACCCAAACCCAAAAAAACCCCAAAAAACCACACACATTGTGGGCGAGGCCACTCAATATCATGAGACTCCCTTAAAATAATGTAAATTTCAAATTAATAAAACGAGGGGAGGAGATGCCTCCTCCTTTCCCAGTGCATCTGCCTCGGATTTGCAGAAAATGCCTGCAAATATGGGAAGAGTTTTCCTTGAGGAACAAAAAAAAAAAAAAAAAAAAAAAAGAGAAAAGCAAGGTTGAAATGATGAAATCCTCAGAGAATCACCTCGTGGGGGTATTTGATGAGAGCTCTGCTGAAATATTGCAAGTGAGAAACAGTGATTTGGGAAAACCAGGAGCAGATCCCACTGGGATTGCTCGGGAAGTTGGTTTTATGGGATGATCATGGATGGGGAAAGGGGAACGAGAAGTCATGGAGAGACTTTATTCCCACTGAATTTTACTCAAAACAAGTAACAGTATTTAAGGAAAGCAACCTGGTCTGGTGGAAGCTTCATTGCCCGTGACAAGAGGTTGCAACGGGATGATCTTCCAACCCAAACCCATGGAAAAACGAGCAGGGAAAGAGCAGGACCTGCAAATCCCCACGGCTGAGGCGAGGTGTGGGGGCTCTTGGCTGTGAATCTCCAGCACCTTCCTCCCTTTGGGGCCCCAGGGGAGGCCCAGGGCAGGGCTGGGAGCAGGTAACGGCAGCTGGAGGCACGGGAGCTCCTCTGGGCCAGGGCAGGAATCACACTTGCAAATCTCAAGTGGATGTTTGGATGTTTTCACAGCCTTGAAACAGGGTCAGCCCCCGAGCAAGCCGAGTGAAAAACACAGGAAGGGTGACTGGCTGGAAAAGAGAGAGTCCCTTCCGAAGTTGGCTTGAACAGCTGCAAGGATGGATGGTTTCTTACCTATCTCTGGCCTAAACACGAAAACAAAAAGCAAAACAAACTAAGAAACACATTGAGGGTGATGGAAAATGATCAAAGCTCCGGAGCCTGCTTGCGTAACTGATTTGTGGAAGGTGTTTCATAAACATTTCATAAGAAGGAGAATTATGAAGAAAACATCTCCCAACCTGCCTGCAATTACTGCACAAACTCTTCCTTACCAGTAGGAAGAAGGGGAAAGGAAAAAAAAAAAAAAAAAAAGGTACATCTGTTTTGTAACTGATCTGTGAACTTCTGGCAAACGCTCGGCTCGTGAAAACATCCTGCAGACATCTTGGAGAGCTCTGGAAAACTGGGAAATTGGGAAGATTCTCCTGAGCAGCTCTGCTTGCTGCTATTCCCTTCAGATTGACCAGTATTGGGTTCCATGGGCTGGTGGTTGGATCCCACTGGTCGGGCTGGAGCCCTCCACGGGGAATCCCAGTTTAGGGATCACCTCAATATCTTCCCCATCTATCAGAGCCCAGAACCCTCCTTGGGATGAGCTCCTGGTGTGACACACACAGTGCTCCATCATCCTCCTCGCTCAGCCACCAATTCAGAGCCTCCAATCCTCTCTCCAAACCTCTCTGGTTCTCTCCTATCCAAGCCCTGCCATCCCTCTCCAGCAGCAGTTATCAGGCAGGAACCACATTAGTGGGAGATGGAGACACCCCCATTTGTTGTGAAGCTCCTATTTAGCCAGTGACCTCTTTGAAACACATTTATCTGCCTCCACATCTGCCTTATCTCACAGTCAGAACCGAGTTTAAGAGTTTGACTCACTCCCAGCCCTGCAGAGCAGAGGGGAGAGGAGGATCAGGTGCACACAGAGGGTCTGGAGCACCTGGCCCTCGCTGGAAAGGAACAGCTCTGAGTCACCCCAAAATGCTCTGAGTCATCCCAAAGTGCTTTGAGTCACCCCAAAGTGCTCTTCAGCACAGCAGGGCTGCCTCAAGCTGTCCCAAAACCCTTTGCCTGGAGCCCAGGGAGGAGGATTGAGGCTGGAAACAGGCATTAAGCTGGATCTAAGGCTCCTGCAGCTCGCTGAGCCTTCCCACCTTGCGATGGCGTAAGTGCTCCGCCGTGAATTACCCGCACACGTGGGCCCCATAAAATAAAAAACACACTAATAATGAATTATGGCAATAATAATAATAATAATAATAATAATAATGGGGTTGCAATTACTATTTCCACATGTACTATCCTGCACATACAGCAGGGCTTAACAGACACCTGGAGAGAAAAGCTTTATGTCAATGCCACGATATTCACCCTGTAACGTTTATATCCCACTGAAGGCTGGGAATTTTTGGAAGCTGTCAGCGTGACAGAAAGGAATTCAGCGTGGGATCAACTCCCAAACAGGCTCTGTCCTAAAGCTCAGCCATGGCAAATTCAAATGCAATCCCAAACCTCAGCACACCTGCATCACCCT